TTTTCGATTCTGCCCTGGTCACTTTGCAGAGGACGCGGACCTTGTTCACCCGGGCGCCGTCCGAGCCGGTATGGTTTCGTGTTGAAGTCGTTCATGGTTGGTTTCTGTCGTCTTGTTCTTTTTACAGACGGCGGTATCTGCACCCCTTCCGTCAAACGCTCCTCCTTTATCTGGACTTGCGACCGGCACAGAAGCCGCTGGATTGCGGTCTCCATGGTGGAGTTTGAAAAAGGATTATGTGTATAATATTTTTTTACTGTTTGAATTGATGGTAAAAGAAATTTAAGATTCAGGCGAATATATTCGTAAACATAAATACCAGCAAGTATAAATAGACAAGTAGCAAATCGTAATACAGGTATTGAATATCGATAGTTATTAGATGATCGATGTCTATTTAAATTAATTGTATTTAGTAATGTGGATAAAATATCTGAACTATTGGTATTAGTAGATGAAATCTGAATCATTCGAGGTACAAAACGAGATAGATATTTTCAAATTTAAGCTTTACTTACGTTTTGTTCAGATAATTTGTTGTTATTTTTTTTAATGAAGAAAAGTCAGCTGGTCGATCATTTTGATCAAGTTTACTTTTTTTTGATTGTGATGAATTGCTCTGATTCACATTCTGTAAGTCAAATAGTCAAAAAATAACCAAATTGCATATATACTCTAACGTACTTGATCCTTTAACGATTTTAAATGCTGATAGTTGGATGATGAATTAGTAGTTTGCTTTTGGCGATTATTTCTTAGTTGCTAAAACCAAAGCTATATTTACAAACAAAACAAGAATCATGCATACATTTTTTGGATTTGATGATGTAGTAAATGAAATAGAACTTTGTGTTTCATTTTGTTTGGGCAAATTAGTAGCCGATGGTTGACTATTATGTCTGTTTATTACGAAAAAAAAATAATTCTTGGGTATTATTGTTAATAAATACTTACTGATTTTTTTTAATTGTAGCTAATAAATCACGACTTCTATTATTTGATTCAGCACGATTTTTATTATTTTGACTGAGACTAATTATTGATAAAAGCAATGTTTAAGTATAATTTTTAAAAAAATTAAATTTACGTTTTTTTTATTGTAACTGATGCTGACAGATCACTATCATTAGTATGATGTTGAATAGAATAATTTTGAGTAGTTGGTCGACTACTTTCATTTCTTAAAGCTTGATCATCAAAATTCATTTGATTTACAACGTTTGATGAACCATCCAATTGTTGATTTCTATTATTGATAAGCAATATTGGTTTGTTGTTAATGACCTTCAAATGTTTCATCAAATTTGATAGTTGAAATCGATAACTTTTTAAATATAACTTTATTCTTTCGTTGCATATACATTCTATTGAGCAAGTTGGTACAATAGAATCAATCGTGTTTTCGATGATCACTTTGAAATCTTTCGTCGATATATTTGTATAATAATTACCATGAATATTATAATTAATTTTTTTCAATAATTTTTCAATAGATTCTTCTATTGACAAACGATAATTTTCTTTACTAACTTCACTATCAGTACCATTGTTATCAGTTGATGATAAGGATGATCGATGATTATCAAGTCGGTTTGATCGTGCTTGAGATAATACTAGAAATTTTTTCTTTTTGACAATAAATTGAGCCGATTTTAACAAAGACACGAGTTTAGTTTTTGTTCCAACTTTTAAAGTTGTAGATTCTTGAGATATATTACAAATCTCGTTTTTCACATTAATTATTTCACTTGTAGAATGTTCATCATTAGGTTTTTCAAAGAAATCGATTAATTGATATTCATCAACCTGACTAAGAATTTTATAACAATCAATATCATGATATTTTAAGATTTTTGCAAAGCCATTCCATATCGTTCTTCAATATGTTCAAAAAAACGTTCATTTGATAGGTCGATTAATTGATCAATTTCAATATCAATATTATCCATTATTCAATTAAATAAAATGTAACAAGTGAAAAAACAACAATTTTGTAATTTATTCAAAATCTAAATCAATATAAGGATTGACAATCCACTAGTTATTTTTTTATTTTTTATTTTTGTATATCAATTATATGTGAAAAAATCGTTACCGTCGGATAGAAAATCCATTCGACAGTTGTATAAGCAATTGAATTCAAGAAAGTCGCAAATACGTTCAGATGTCGCACGATTATGTATGATTGATGGATATTGGCTAGATGAAACCAGTTGTATCATCATATTTGAACTCTACCTGTTTGACTGAAAAGTTGAACTTAATGATTGCAACTCGTTAAAAGATGATTATTTACTTTCGACAAATAATAAAGACTTTGTATCGTTTACCTATAACTAAGTAGAAAAATGAGTTTGACCATTGACAATTCGCTCAGTTAGTGATAATTTCACAAGTTTTTAAAAACTATTTTGGAAATTTTTGAAAAAATGCTTCTATATTCAATAGAAATATGCGGCAGTATATCAATTAAGTATTTTCCACCTGCTATTTTATGACGTGAGATGTTATATTGTATTCTGTATTATCTTCTTTGAAAAAAAAATGATGCACTTGATTTTGAGATTTTTCGAAATATATTATACATGATCAATTAATTTTTGATGTTGTTTCCACTCATTTCACTTAACATACCTATCATTTCGCATCATTTAAATCAGATTCGTTGATTGTTTTTATTGAAATAGTTGAACTATTTTAGAAAAAAATGGACTCACAACATATTTTCCCAATTAATCCTGTACATAAAATATAGTCATTGAAAGATTACATTTGCAAAGAAGTTATACGACAGCCTCGATTGCTTAAAGCGAGATTGTGCAACACTTTTATATCCAATCGTTATCGGTAGATTCTAATAATGGATACGATTAGCAGGATGAAATATATCAACATCTATAGTTTGATAGAATATTGTTTTCAAAAAACCCTTGTTGCATGTGTATGCCATAATTTTAAAAAACGTTATGCTTAAAGGAAAGCCATGATACTGATATGAAAAACGATTTAGAGTTTGACATACTTCATCGTACTCTCATGTACTCTTCCGTACTCTCCTAATACTTCCCTGTACTCCCTCAGTACTCCCTGGTACTAACTGATACTTCCTCTGTACTCCCTCTGTACTCCCTCGTAGTCCCTCGGTACTCCCTCTGTACTCTCTCGTACTCCCTCGGTACTCACTCGGTACTCCCTCGGTACTCCCTCGTACTCCCTCGGCACTCCCTCGTACTCCCTCGGTACTTCCTCGGTACTCCCTCGGTACTTCCCCGTACTCCCTCGTACTTCCCCGTACTCCCTCGTACTTCCCCGTACTCCCTCGTACTCCCTCAGTACTTCCTCGGTACTTCGAAGTACGGAAGTCTCGCTTTTCCCCCCTTGCTTTGGATATAATTTTTTTAATAATATCTTTGATGTTGATTAGATCATCACATTCTTCTTTTGTTTTTAATAGATTCATCGATTTATACTGTGTCTCTGTATTACTACAACAATTATGACAGTCTGACTGCATTAAATCTGATTTAACTGTACCGAATCTTTTCGATACACACATGGCTACTCCATTTTTATGTCTAAAACTTGAAAATTTCTGAACAGCTCTTACTGTTAGTAGCAAAATTCGCCATGAACGACTAGCATATGAACGAGCATGTTGTTTTCTTTTATATGTTTCTTTTCGTGTTTTAACTTTTGATGCACTCGATTTTTTACGAACCATATTCAATTTTAGGAAATTTATGAAGTCTTTTTAATTTTATAAGTTCAAATTTCTCGTTGAGATTAAGCAAGTATATCAACTAGGTTTTGCTTAAACTCCTTAGTGAGATATATGTTTATCTCTTAACTTGGCGAGATAATCAAAAAAAAGTTTCTTTCAAGCTAAATCTTCTGTGGTACTTAGTGAAGATATAGTTGATACTAGGTAGGAAACTTCAGAAAGTCAAAAATTTGGTGACTTTCTTTTAAGCAATCTTTGAATTTTTTTATTGTTAAATGATATTTATGATAAATATAATCTAAAATAAACAAAAAACTACAATATCAATAAACTCATATAAGGTGAACATATTTATATAACTATTACAAATATTCAACAACAGCACATTTTATTCCGTGAAGATTAGAATTCAACAAACACATGGCAAGACGAACAACTTAATATAACGTCAAACAAGTTTAGATAACAAATACGGATGTAGAAGAAAACAGAAAATAGTTATATTATCTAGTTAAATTTGCTATCTAAAATTATTTTCCCAAAAAGAATTAGATACTAACAAATGAGATACGTGTATATAACAAGTAAAAACGTCAAAAAAAGTAGAATCAAGGTTTTTTTTCTTTTCGATTATATACAGTGTGTCCCGAAAGTCCCTTCCTAAAAGTTTTTTCGAATATCTTTGCTATTTTATTTCACTTTGTCAAGATTTTTTTTTTAAATTCATGGTGAATATACAGAGTTTTTATTTATCTGAACAACTTTCCATATTACTGTACGAAACTATCACTTTGGATCAAGATACAAAAGTTTTGCTTTCTGTGTATTGCCAGAAAAACATTATGTAGCGTTTTTTTTCTTTAATTATTTCGACTTTCTGTGGTAATTTTCTGTATGTTTTTCTTCAAAGAAAAGGTTTAAACATTTTTCAATATATATATTCTTGTAGAACTCGATGAGCTCTATCTAACCATATGAAAATATCAAAGAAAAAACATCAGTTAGTTTTTGAATTACTCGCATTTTACAAAGAAAGCAAAATTTTTGTATCTTGATCCAGAGTGATAGTTTAGTACAGTAATATGGAAGATCATTCGGACAAATAAAAACTCGGTATATTCACCGTTAATTTAAAAAAAAGTTGTTGAAGAGGTTAAATAAAATAGCAAAGATATTCGAAAAAACTTTTGGGAAAGGACTTTCGGGACACACTGTAGATCAGAATATATATAAAGAAAGTTACCATCAATAAGACTATATCGTATGATTCATGTTTTACATAAAAAGGATCATTTCTAAACAGATTTAAAATCATTATATATATATATATAAATATTTTTATAATGTAAAAAAAATGACTAAAAGAATGGGATAATTCTTACCGAAATATATTTATACAAAAAGCAAAAATATTCGAACAAAAAAAAATGAAATAAATTCTTTTATTTAAAAAACTTTACAATTAAAAATATAATATCACGTAAAAGTAATGTATCAAAAAAAGGAATAAAACAGATGATTCTAAAAATAAATAAAAAGAATCTTTTATCTAAAAATAATTTTATCATCTAAAATAAATGAGTAGATGAATGGGAATAATCTCTACCGAAACATGTCTAAACAACAAGGACAAAAAGTTTTAAAAATAACTCAATTGAATTCTCATACTTAAAACGTTTTAGATTGAATAATATAATGTAAGGTAATATATATTTGTACAATGAGGACGTTTCTTTTCACTATGAAAAATTACGTTTTTATATATTTGAATAGATTAAAAATCTTAAATGAAGGATCTGATGACAATAAATAATATGTAGGAAAACATATTTTTATAAGGTGCACATATATTCAAAGAAGAAAATCAAATGAATTGTTTTATATTAAAGCAAAAAAAAAGAATTATTAATATTAAAAAAAATTGCATATATAAGTAGATTTAGGATCTAAACTGAATGACCAGAGTAATACGATAATATCTAGCGAAACATATTTCTAGAATAGAAGGAAATAATATTTAAAAAAATCCAATGAATTCTTTACTTAAAAAGTCTTATAATTAACTATTGAAGACCACAATGAAATATATTTATATAACAAGTACAAATTTTTCTCAAAAAAACAAAATTAAAATGACCTTGGTTATATAATCGATTATAAAATGTCAAATATAATTTAAAAATAAAGATGAGTTCTTTTTTATTCTCACTCAGTGTACAATCTAAAACATATTTTGAATAAGTTTAGCATTGATAATATAACCGTAGGGTAAACATGTACACATAACAAGTAATAAATATCAAAAATAAGAAAAGAGTGCAATTGTTACATGAAAGGAATGTGACCATTTTAAAGAAGAAGTAAAGGCTTCATTAGGTTATTAGAGAAAACAAGTTTTCTAACCAACAAACGTTTTTTCAATATATTCAAAAAAAAAGCAAGAATTAGATGCAACCATCATTACATTAATTATCAATTCTAAAATATTGAATAAAATAAGATGTTCAATAAGATAATATGACAGGAAACATCTTTATCTAAAAACTAGAATTCTAAACAAATGAAAAGAAATTCTTAACTTAATTAAGTGCAATACCCATTTGAAACTTTATAACTGTAGCACCTCTACAAAAGCTTAGAATCCATATTTGATTCAAAAATCAAATTCTACGTATTATTATAGAGGGCTCTATAAATTCTTAACAATAAAGCAGAACATTCAATGCACAATTAATTATCTTTATGATTCATTATCTGGTATCAGGTGTCAGCGAAAAGATCACTGGCACATTTGTTGATGACGTCATTTTAATTATCTTGAATATTAAAAAGGAAAAGTTCCTTCAAAATCATGTTTTTGGAGCGTTTTTTTTGTGCGAATCAAATGTCCGATGGAAGATTGCAAAAAATATTTCAGTAGTTCAATCTCAATACATTATCCTTGCATTTGAACGAATAATTTACGATTTTTCGTTCTCGGGATCACCGCGACACAAAATCAGGAGTTGATGTGCGTACATCGAGAAAGTAAAAGAACTCGTTGAATTGTGTACAGACTACTGAACACAGACACTTTTCTGTATCATTCGAAATCGAAGAATTACTTTTTCACGAGTCAGCTGACATAAGTCGTGAGAAAATTGAAAGGTACCATAATGAAATTCATCGCGAAGAGACCTCTATGAAAGCCTATGAACACTTTTCTGAAGGACGATTTTGATTGATTGTTTAATTATCTATATGATTCATTATATATAATCAGCTGTATCACAGCTGATTGATATATATGACAAAGAAACNAAATTTCTCGTTGAGATTAAGCAACTATATCAACTAAGTGTTGCTTAAACTCCTTAGTGAGAAATATGTTTATCTCTTAACTTTGCGAGATAATCAAGAACAAGTTTCTTTCAAGCTAAATCTTCTATGATACTAAGTGAAGATATAGTTGATACTAAGTAAGAAACTTCAGAAAGTCAAAAATTTAGTGACTTTCTTTTAAGCAAGATTTTAATTTTATTACTGTTAAATGATAATTCTGAAGAATATAATCTAAAAAAAAAAACTACAATATCAACAAACTAATATAAGGCGAACATATTCATATAGCTATTAAAAATATTCAAGGATAAAACATTTTATCTCGTTAACTTTACAATTCAACAAACAAATGGAGAGACGAACAACTTAATATAACGTGGAACAAGTTTAGATAACAAATAGAGATGTAGAAGAAAACAGAAAAAATTATATTATCTAGTTAAATTGCCATCTAAAATTATTTTCCCATAATCAATCAGATAATAACAAATGAAATACGTTTATATAACAAGTGGAAACGTTAAAAAAAAACAAAAAGAATAGAATCGAATTTTTTTCCTTTTCGATTATACAAACTAGAATATATATTAAAAAAGTTAGCATTAATAACACCATATCAGATGAAACATGTTTTACATAAAAAGGATAATTTCTAAACAGATTTAAAATCATGTTATATATATAAATATTTTTTCAATGTAAAAAAAATGATTAAAACAATGGAATAATTCCTACCGACAATTTTTAATACAAAAAGCTAAAATATTCGAACAAAGAAAAATCAAATAAATTCTTTTATTTAAAAAATTTTACAATTAAAAATATAATATCAGATGAAACTATTTTATATAAAAAGCAATAAAACCGACGATTCTAAAAATGAATAAAAAGAATGTTTTATCTAAAAATAATTTAACAATCTAAAATAAATGAGTAAAGGAACGGGAATAATCTCTACCGAAACATCTTTAAACAACAAGGACAAACAGTTTTAAAAAATCAAGTGAATTCTCTTTCTTATTTTGGATGTGCGTGATTGAACAATATACTATAAGATGATAAATGTTTGTACAAAGAGGACGTTTCTTTCAACAATGAAAAATTGAGTTTTTATATGTTTGAATAGATTTAAAATTTTAAATAAATGATCGGATAATTATAAAGAATATATAGGAAAAGATATTTTTATAAGATGCACAAATATTCAAAGAAGAAAATCAAATGAATTATTTTATTTAAAAAAAGAAAAAACTATTAATATTATAAAAAAAAATGCATATATAAGTAAATTTATGATCTAAATTGAATAACCAGAGTAATACGATAATATCCAGCTAAATATATTTATAGAATAGAAGAAAATAAAATTTAAAAGCATCCAATGAATTCTTTCTTTAAAAATTCTTACAATGAACTAGCGAACATTATGATGAAACATATATATGGGAGTGGCCAGTTAGATGATACCCCATTTTGATACACTCCTATTGTAAGGATAAAACATACTATTGTTCGGGTCATATAAGAGAGGATCCTAGATAACCCTGGATTGGCCCGAACAACATCATGTTTTATCCGTACAATAGTAGAG